GAATTTGGTGCTGCCATGACCAAGATTCAGTGCTGGAGGCTGGAGCAGGTCTGTTCTTGCCCTCTGCCAGCCCCAAGGACCAGTGGGAACGCTCTCAGAGGGTCAGAAAGTTTTGTGCCAGCTCCATGCATTGCAGATGGGGCAGATAATGCTGCTGAAACCACTACAATACCTTTAGTAAAGAATTCTCTTCCTTGTGGAGTTTCTAAAGCCATCTGGTAGAAATCTGCTTTCAGCTGACTGCAGAGGTTTCTATTGATGTCCTGCCAAAGCACAGCACATGGCCTAGAGGTCCTTACAAAGAACAAAAACCCACCCTGATCCACCAAGGACAAAACTTGCCCCCCTAAAAAATAATAATAATAAAAAAAGCTCGGGATGCACCCCATGTGGCCAGCAGGATCCCCAGTGGGGCTGCTGGAATGTGGCTCCTGGCCAGTTCCCTGCCCTGCCAGAGGCTTTCCAGGTTTCTCCCACCAGCAAGGAGTGACCCAGACTCTTCCCAGACACATTATTGCACTGTCTGAAGGCTGGTTCATCCTCCTCTGCAGGTTTGCAGCCTTTTTGCTCCAGATTTTTAAATACTGACCCCACAAAAATACCCCCAAAAAACAAACAAACCCAAACTGATGAGTTGTGCTGAGATTTGCCCGTGTAATGTTTCCTAGGAAGTTCTTCCTGTTGAACCATTTCACTTCTCCGTGTAATGGATCTGAGACCATTATGATGAAAAATCACAGGGGCCAGTTGGTGAAAAAGAGAAAAAAGCCTCTCTCAGCAGCGGCTGAAGCAGCTTGAGGACAAACAACAGGCAGGGAGATTTTGATCCAGCACAGGTCGGGTGTCTCTGCTGCTTTCCTGTGCCACTACTACGCGGCTCTTGTGCAATCACTGGTAGGAAACAGGGCTGGGAGCGGTGCCAGCTCGGTAACAGGAGTAAAAAGGGAACAGAATGGAGTGAATTTCTGCTCAGGTGTGCCAGGAGGGGCTGGGGGGAGCCCCAGGGAGCAGCAGCCCTGAAAGGAGCTGTGCACCTGATCCCTGCCTTGCTGGGCTGTTTCTCTGCACTTTCATTCAGAAATACCCTAAATGTGCTGGAGAGTTTTTTTAAAAATTAAGATATTTCCCTTCGGTTTCATAAGGACCTGCAGAGGTCAGACTGCAGCTGTTACCTGTCCCAAATCCTGAGCACCACCTTTTAGAGGATTTTTTTGTAGCTGAGCAGTAAACAAAGTTGCTGTGTTTGGTTTATTGCTGGGACGGTGTGATCACAATCTGTGCAAAAGGAACCAAATCCCCCAGAAGGAGCAGACACAGGGGCTGTGTTTCCCTCTGGAATTTGCCTTTTGCCTTGGGGGGATGCAGGAATGGGCCATTCCAGAGGGGTGTGGGACGGTGGCAGGGCTGAGGGAGCAGGGGCAGGGATGGGTTCCTGTGAGAGTTTCTGTGCTGCCCAAATCCCCCCTCACCGAGGGGAGCCGAGATCAGCCTGCACACACAACAGCTGATGCTGCTGATCACCCCCGGCCATTTGCCTCCCAAAAGTTTGAGAGGTGTGCTAAATTTTATCTGTGAGATTTGAGTTTGAAAGGCTGCTGTAAAAATCTGTAGGAGTCCCAGAACTACTGCAATGCTGCAGCTGCAGGGACTTGGGTTAGGGTTCGGATCCACGAGTTGCAGGTATCAAAACCCTGTTTCTAACAGGAACCCTGAGCCCTGCCCAGCAGAGAGGGGACCTAAGAGAAGTCTTTAATTCATTGCTCATCTGGGCTTTCTCACTTGTTGCAAGTGCAGCAGAGAAAAAGAGGCAGACAGGGCACACGGCTCCTGCTGGGGACACAGACACGCGTGGGGAGAGAGAAGGAAACTGCGGCGGGTTTATCTCACGGGAAAGGTTTCGGAGGGGTGATGGGCTGCCCCTGCAGGGCTGCGGGCCGTGCAGACCCGGACAGGGACAGGACAAACATCTCCAGCAGCAAATCCAGCGAGAAACTCGGGGATGAAAGGAGGGGCAGGAGCGCTGGAGATGCTGCAGCTTCCCGGCCGTGTCCCGCTCGCTCTCCTCCTCCCGTGAACGCTCCCCATCATCGGTAAAGCCCAGATCCAGTCCCGGAGAGCTGCCCGGTACCATCGCAGCCCCGGAGCTCGGTCCCGGCTCCATCGCAGCCCCGGAGCTCGGTCCCGGCTCCAGCCCAGCCCGGGAGCTCGGTCCCGGCTCCAGCCCAGCCCGGGAGCTCGGTCCCGGCTCCAGCCCAGCCCGGGAGCTCGGTCCCGGCTCCAGCCCAGCCCGGGAGCTCGGTCCCGGCTCCAGCCCAGCCCGGGAGCTCGGTCCGGCTCCAGCCCAGCCCGGGAGCTCGGTCCTGCTCCAGCCCAGCCCGGGAGCTCGGTCCCGCTCCAGCCCAGCCCGGGCTCTCGCTGCCGGCACAGGGATGCTCGGGATGTCCCGCTCTTCCAAAGTGCCTTCTCCTCCCTGCCGACCCCTTTACCCCATTCCGGGCTCCCCGGGCGCCCCCGCCCCGCTTACCTGCGCCTTCTCGGGGTACCGGCAGGTCGCGAAGACCAAATCCGGGGAGGGGCTGGCAGCTGCGAGCCCCCGCACCAGCCCCAGCCCGATGCCGCGGCTGCAGCCGGTGATGAGCACGGAGCGGCAGCGCGGCTGGGCCATGCTGGAGCTGGGCCCGCTCCGCTCCGCTCCCGGTGCTTCTTTAACCCACGCGGTTCTCAACCTGCGCGGAGCGGAGCCGCCCCGGGCCCGCCCCCGGCACGGCGCCTCCCCCGCCCGGCTCCGGGGAACGGGAATTGGCTTTTCCCTCCCGGTTCCAGGGAATGAGCGGCCGGGGGAACGGGAATTGGCTTTTCCCTCCCCGCTCCGGGGAACGGGAATTGGATTTTCCCTCCCGGCTCCGGGGAACGGGAATTGGGTTTTCCCTCCCCGCTCCAGGGAATGAGCGGCTCCGGGGAACGGGAATTGGCTTTTCCCCATCCCACACCCCTGTTCCACCAAGTTCAGAGCCCTGCGTGGGTCAGAGCAGCCCTGAGCTCTCTGCCCCTCGCTCTCAGCCCCACAGAAGCGGACAAGGATGAACTCGCTCCCGCGGGCAGGCAGGAGTGGACAGAAGGGAAGGATTCAGCTCCTGAACGGGGGAGAAGCAGAGGGAGGAATGAATCCCCGTTTGTGGACTCCTCACGTTCCTGCCGAGGCTTTTTAAAGTGTGCCGGGCACCACATTTGTGTCCCTTGCTCGATGCGGGTGACCCGATCCTGGACATCAGCACAGGATCCTTCCCTCAGCTCATCCTCGCCCTGTGCCTCCCCAGATCAATAACTCCTTCTTACTCACTTGCACACTCATGGAGAAACTGGGATATGGAGGTTTCAAGGCTTTAGTACATCTATAAGCATAATATTGCTCTTTTCTTTTTTAAAAGATCACTACACTTTTAAAATATTTTCACCTTCCTAGAGGTTGATAGACTCTGCCCTTGAACTTGGGAAACTGAAGAACAAAGATTTGGTAATTTGGAAAAATTCTGTGGAAAAGCCTCAAACAGCTGCTGTGTCTGCCCAGTTTCCCTTTTGTTGGTTTAATTCTAAATACCTGCAACAGCTCCAAAAACGTACAGGATTTATTTCTATTAAAGTATTGCTGCTGCACAGCTCAGGTTCGATGTTACATCACATTCCCAGGGGAGATGAAGATGACAAAATCCTTCCAGACATTTCTCCTACCTCGGACAGTGTTGGCTGTGAGCAGAGCTGAGAGGGGCTTCTGGAACCGCCTGGATTCCTGTTCCCTCAGGCTGGGGAAAAGCTCAGCCCTGTGCACACAGCAGCTGTGGCAGGGAGCCAGCAGCAAGGCTGCCCTGGAGATTGATACCTGTTCTTCTCTTTTCTTCCAAATAAAGCTCCATTCCAGCAACTTCTGCCTCACAAACAGCAATACTCCTCTTTCCCAGGTGCCTTAATTTAATCCATCACCGTCCTGCCCACATTTCAGAACCATTTCCTTTGTGCATTACCACTGCTCTGGTGGGGTTGGAAAAGCTTTTTTTAAATCTTAGTGACCTCTTTGTGCTTGGGATGATGGCACAGCTGGAATTTTGCACAGCTGGGATTGGCAACCTCTGGCAAATAATCCTCTGGGCTCTCACCTGGGAAAGCGTTGGTGGCTTTCCCACCTGCAGCTCTGACACAAGTGAATTTACTGCTGGGTGAGCCACTTTTTGGGAAAACAGCCTGGAGGATTATTTTCCAGGAAGGATGGGCCGGGTGGCCAGAGTGGGTAGGTTTTACTGAGGGAGCAGCAGGTGGGATTTATCTGAGGAATGTGCATCAGCACCTGGCCAAGCCTGCAGTGTCTTCTACAGTCAGGTTCCAGTGCTGTCCCTTCAAAGCAGAACATCCCAGAGCAGGAGGAACTGCAGGTGAACACCAGAACAGATCAGAGACCAACCTGAGGGAGGTTCTGATCACTGAGAGCCTCGGTGGAGTCACCAGAGGTGGAGAAAACAAAGCCATAACTCACCTGAAGGGCTGAGAGCTGTTCACACACACAGGGGCACGTGGGGCTTTTTATTTCAGGTGAACTTCTGCCAGCACCAGCCACAGGACCCTGCCCTGCTCAGCAGCAGCAGTCATTTCCTCATGTCCCAGCAAACCCACCCCAGATGTTCAGATGTTCAGCCACCCCAACATTTTCACCCCCCAAGAAGTAGCACAAAGCCCAAGGGATGGTTTTCTCCTCAGGCCCAGAGCAAACAGCTCAGGAAACTCAGCTGGGACCTGCCAGCTACTCCTGAAGTCAGAGAAATGCTTTCCACCTCAAATCCTTGTGGATTGGGGTATTTTGTTTGGTGCCCAAAACTCCTGCCTTTAAGGGAATGGGGATTGAATTCCAATTCTTGAATCTATTACAGTTTAAAAATCTATTCATTTTGCACCAATTTCTTTCCTTATGAGTAGGCACAAGTGGTGTAGCTCATAAGAAACTCAAGGGAATATAATAGAAAATCAAATACTTTAATGAAATTAGGGAGCATGAGAGTAACAGCTCAGATATACCACTAGAACTGATACTACTGGGCTGTGGGGCTCTGCTAATTGGTTTTTAAATGCTCTGTCCATCAAGCATGCAGACTGATAAACTACGAATTCTTCAGAGTGTCAAAGATCCTGAGTAAAGAATTTTCAACCACTTCAAATGGATATATAGGAAATGTCTTCTGAGCTGGTGGCCTGCACACAGCATTGCACAGATAAAAATATACTACTCTCAATGCACAGAGCTAAATACTTTCACATTTATCAGAATTTTCTACACAAGTCTTTTTTTCTGATAGAATTCAAGTTCTGAATTTTCTGTATATATCTTCACCTGTATTAAACAAATGCTTATTTACATTGTGGGTAAAGTGTAAAGGCTAGGAAGGCCATTTTCCCATACTGTACTGTAACACTGCAAAATATATATACACAGAGAACCTAATATAGGCAACAGGTCTAAAAAAAAAAAAAGTCACCTCCCACCTGTACAACATCACCGAGCCAGCATGGAAAGAGGGCATTGTTAGCACCAAAGTACTCCCAGGGGGATGAGGAGCTTCCCAGGCCCACAGGGAAGAACTGCTGGGCACAGCATTCCAAGGATGGGCCTGCAGGACTGGAAGCCCAAAGGCTGCAATGGAAATGCTGAAGAGCAGGACAGGAGCTCTGAGGGTGAAGGTGACAGTGACACCCTGGCACAGAGCACTGCTGACATCCCTTCCCACCCTGTCAGTCTTTCCTTTGCATTCAGGGATGAGCACAAACTGCTGCCTCCAGCCAGGGTGGTTCACTAGCCAGGTTAAGCCTGCACAAGCCACGGGGAAGGAGCTCTGCTGGCAGAGGGAATTCTGAGGGAAGCAGCCCTGTCTCACCAACTGTGCCTGGGTGCTGGAGGGAAATCCCTGGTGGGCATTCCCTTGGGAAGCAGCCCCCAGTTCTGTGCCTGGGGTGCCAGAGAGAATTCCCTCAGGAAACCACCCCAGCTCACCAGAGGGAATTCCCTCAGAAGGCAGCGCTGGTGGGCATTCCCTTGGGAAACAGCCCCAGAAGGGCTCACTGGCAGGAATTCCCTTGGGAGCAGCCCCAGAAGGGCTCACCCAGCAGGAATTCCCCCAGGTGCAGCTCTGGGGGCTCAGCAGTGACAATTCCCCCCAGGAGCAGCCCCAACAGGGCTCACCAGCAGGAATTCCCTTGGAAAGCAGTCCCAGCAGGAATCCCCCCGGGAGCAGCTCTGGGGGCTCACCAGCAGGAATTCCCTTGGAAAGCAGTCCCAACAGGGCTCACCAGCAGGAATCCCCCCGGGAGCAGCTCTGGGGGCTCAGCAGTGACAATTTCCCACAGGAGCAGCTCCAGAAGGGCTCACCAGCAGGAATCCCCCTGGGAGCAGCCCCAACAGGGCTCACTGGCAGGAATTCCCTCGGGAGCAGCCCCAGAAGGGCTCACTGGCAGGAATTCCCCCAGGAGCAGCTCTGGGGGCTCAGCAGTGACAATTTCCCACAGGAGCAGCCCCCAGCAGGGCTCACCAGAAAGAATCCCCCCGGGAGCAGCTCTGGGGAGCTCAGCAGTGCCAACTCCCCCCGGGAGCAGCCCCAGCAGGGCTCACCAGCAGGAATTCCCTTGGAAAGCAGCCCCAACAGGGCTCACCAGAGGGAATCCCCCCGGGAGCAGCTCTGGGGGCTCACTGGTGCCAACTTCCCCCAGGAGCAGTCCCAGCAGGGCTCACCAGCAGGAATTCCCCCAGGAGCAGCTCTAGGGGCTCAGCGGTGCCAACACCCCCTGGGAGCAGCTCTGGGGGCTCACCGGTGCCAACACCCCCGGAGCAGGCGGGGGCTCACCGGCGGTGCCGGCTGTGCCCGGGGTGCTCGCGCTCGTAGCGGTGCTGGGCGCGCTCGTAGGAGCGGGAGCGCTCGTGCCGGTGGTTGCGGTAGTAGTGGCTCTTCTTCTTGTACTTGCCCGAGTGGTCGGAGCGCTCGCGGGAGCGGCTGCGGGAGCGGGACGAGCTGCGCGAGCGGGACTTGCGCGCTTTGTGCGCCGAGTACTTGGTGTAGTCCTTGGACTTCTTGTAGCTCCGCGCCTTGGAGCCCTTGTAGGCCGAGGAGCCGTGGTTGAACTGCCTCGGGGGGGAATCGCTGCGGCTCCGAGAGCGGCTGTGCGACTTGGAGCCGCTGGACGTGGAGTAACTCTCGCTTTTCCTGCGAGGAAAAAGGAGAGCAAATGTGAGTTTGTGTGAGCCCCAAGGTGGGCAACTCCCTGGGGGCTGCCCTGGCAGGGGAGACCCTCCTGGGGCAGTTCTGTGTCAGGAACCAGAGATTCATTGGACTTTTTCAGTCTTCAGCTTCTGTTTTTTGTTATCTTATCAAGATTTCATCATGCTGTCTGCACCAGACTCTGTGTGCAGGAAAACAGCACAAAAATGGCCAACAATCTCTTGTTACAAGGCCTTGTAAGTCTGATCGAAAACTAAGCTACCTAATTAAGAAGTGACACCGAAATTATTTTCCTTTCTAACCCAATAACTGACCTCTGAAGACCCACATTGCAGAATTTTGTACCCAATTACAAGATACCACCTAAACCTAAGAAGAAAGAGGAAGAAGAAAAAAAGAAGGGAACTCAAGACAACACCCTGTATCCTCCATCTTGTATCCATCTATAACATACAAAAAATCCTAAAAGCTAAATTTCTCACCCATGTGACATACTGTCTACAATCTCTTCAGCGTATTTCACACTTTTGTGGTTTCTGGTTTATCTTGAGGCTTTGGAAGATTTCTCCATGAATGAGGGTCAAAGTCAGAGCTGCTCTGGGGGTCAGGACACCCCAGAGCAGACAGGGGGAAATATTCCCAGTGCCCTGGGTTTCCACAAACAAACATGGTTTTCTGAAATTAAGAATTTCATTCTGCATTTTGCTGTTTTCTTGAATTTTAAGAACACCATTCTGCATTTTGAGTTTCAAGACCTTCCTTATGCATTTTGAATTTGAAGAATGCCATGCTGAATTTTGATATTTTTTTTAAGACCACCCTTCAGCATTTTGGATTCTAAGAAGTGCATGCTGCATTTTGCTGTTCTCCCATGAGAACTCATCTTGTGACCTGAACTTCCATCTGGCTTCTGAAAAAATACTGATTTTTAGGAACTCCAGTTACAGGAAGAAACACCCACAGCTGGAGGCACTCTGGAGTTCAGTGAGCAGCACACTCTGCTGGGTCACCTCAGCCTCTTGGTGGTGATCTATCAAAGCTGGCACTGGGAATGAGACTGGGAGGGACTGGGAGCACAGCCTACCTGTGCTTGGGGGATGCAGACCTCGATGGTGACCTGGAGTAACTCTGATCTCTGCTTCCACTTCGACTCCTGCTCTCTCTCCCTTTCTGGACACTGCCAGAGACAAGGAGCACTGAGTTATTTTATTTCAAGTACTGATGGGAGAAAAATCAGCTGTTTCCTTATAAAACCTTACCCATTTACTGGGCTGTTGGAGCTGGTTCTCTTGGCTCCCTCTGTTTTCCTTTTAGCATTCTTCATGGCCTGCACAGGCAGTGGTGAAGGTTTATTTCCTTTAACCTCTTTTGGAGACTCTGCAAGAAGAAGCTTTTGTTACTCTTTGGAAAGTACCTGAAAGGACTTGAGGCTCTCCCTCACCCCATGTCTGCACCAACCAGAGCTGCACAGCTGGGCTTTGCACATGTGTGCACACACAGCCACCCACAAGCAGATCTCAACAAGTTCACAGAAGGCAGAAATTCATCTGAAACGTTTCTGCCAAAGTATTGAAGCAACTGCAAGAAAAGGCAGAAATCCACCCTCCCTCCCTTGCCAATTAATTCAGCATTGTTTGAAAGGTAAACTGGAGAATAAGTTTGTTCAGGTGAATGTTGTCTTCTAGGTGAGACCTGCACCAGACTGAAAACTTTAACCAACAAATTCCTCACCCAACATCCCAAAATGTTACCCCTGCCAGAGCACCTCTGCTTCAATATTGCTTTAGCTCAACATGCCAGTGGCAAGGATTTGAGCTTATTGCCAAATCCACATAAAAGCAAGTCCCTGGTCTATATGGGTTTAAACTAGTCTTAATTTCAGACTAATTTGATTTTAGCTTTTATCTGATTTCAAGAAATCACAAAGTCACAGTGTTATTCAAACCCTGCCAGTTGAGTAGTGCTAGAAGCCATCTTAAAAAAAAGCCCCAACAAACTCCAAACCACACTTGTAAATGCTTCCCCAAAAGGGTAAATATACATGAAAGATGTGAAAAGGTTATTAAAAATAAGTTATCCACTATTTACCATTTTTTGGAATAGGGGAAAATCCCGATGTGTTATCCAAACTTGGAACTCCCTCAGGTGCCAGACCTTTAGCTTGTGCTTTTGCCTCTTCAATAGCCAATTTCTTCTTTTCTATTTTACTTTCCAGATCAGATAAATCCACCTGTGAACACGGGAGCACTGCTTGTGAGAACTGAATTTCCTGGTTACCCACTCCCAGGGAGGGGAATGGAAATCCAAGGAATCCCAGACAGTGACTGATCTTTGTTCACTTCCAGGCTTGCAGCTGTGGTTTTAAACAGCCTCAAAATTTCCAACTCCTGCTCTGAGCTGCAGCCTTCACTGAGGGCTCCCAACATGAAAAAGAACCAAACCTTTTTCCTTGTGTACAGCTGCAAGATTTTTAAGCAGATTTCTTGAATTTCTTCCTCAGTTGCTCCAAACAGTAAAAACCAATGTGGGCGATTTGGAAGTGGGATCTGAAAGGGGGGGAGAGAAAGATAGAGACAAAGCTCAGATTTCTCCTCCTGGTAGAAGGGCTTGAAAGAAACCCAAATCCATGGCACTGTGGCTCACCTCCAGGGTCCTGGCTGCCAGGTAAATGCAGGCACAGGCAATGCTTTCTGGCTGGAACCTCACAAAGACATCTGTTCTCAGGCTGTCGTTCATGTAGTTCCTGAAAAACAGGAGAGCAGGAGGTTGCAAGGCACTGCAAAGCTCTCTGGGGTTCTTTTTTTGGGTTTTTGACTTGGTTTTACTTCTACAAGGGCTATTTCTTTCTGCATTCAGTTACTAGACTTCAACATTCTACTCCTGTAAATCTAAAGAGAAGCTGAATGATTTTACTAAAACAAAAATAAAATAACTAAAATAAATCCCTCAAGGGGAGGGACATGTGACAGAAACAAAGTCTGACTGCTGAAAATTCAGTGGTGAGGAGAGAACCAATTTTAACTTCACTTTTGCTGCTAGATCTCTACTGGCCTGCTCTCATGCAATAAACAAGTTATTTTCATCAAGACAACATACAGTGTGCTCAGAAATACTCAGTTATAGAATTTTAGGTTTGCATGTTCCCCTGTAATTGGGCAGAACCAGGTGTCTGGAAAAAGCTGCAGCTCCTGGAGCAGTTCTCCCATGAAATCCAGTCCTCTTCAGCACAGGTCAAGTTCCAGTGGCATTTAAGGGTCCATTTCCATCCAGAAGAGAATTCTTTTTGATGCAAAAAGTCAGCCATAGGAGAAATCAGGGTGTTTGGGAACATCAGTTCAGGAGAACAGTCAGTACTCAGGCAGATCTCCTCTTTGGCACATGAAATAAGGTTTCCAAATTGTCCCATTTCAGTAAGGTTGCTTAAAATGAATATTCACAGAATGAGAAAACTGTAAAATATTGCACATATTCCAGTCAGTACAATTAAGCATTATGCTGTTAAATCTTAAATACACAAAGTAAATTCCTGTGAATCTGTCAGCTGATGTGCTTTAGAAGATCTAGACTTGGGAGCACATATGTCAATAAAGTATCAGATGGAGAAAAACTAAAACCAGACATAATAAAAGTCTTTAAAATAATACTTGAAGGTAATAATTAACCATGTGGGTACCCAGTATACAAGGATTCACTGACCCCCAAGATATCCAAAGCAGAGACCACAGGCCAGGCACCTGCAATGTTTACAAGGACAGAGAGGAGGGATTGGAATCCCAGGAGTTTCCAACTCCCACCTGCCCCAGCTGTCCTCAATTCTTGGTTACACAAACAACAACTGCTGCTCCAAAAAAGCAACACTGACCATTAGCTCATCCTTCTGGGAGAAAGGAACTTCTCAACCTGCTCTTGTCTCACTACAAAGAGAGCACAAAGGAGTGATAAAGGAAAGGGTGACTTGGAACATCTGGAAGCTGCAGTGCTTTTTTTCCTGATTTGCCAAATTGAGAACCATGCCAGCTTCCAAGTTTGGCCTCTGCACATCTTCCCTGTGGGCTCAGCCAGACACAGGAGGAAATGAATCCTTGTCACAATAGCTTAAGAAAAAGGTCATGTCGTAAAAATGCACATTTCAAAAACCAACTATACTGGATACCCACCAGTTTTCAGGTACTGGAAGCAACAAACACGAGCACACAGATGTGTTATTGTAATACCTGACCCCTTTTTCAGCTGGGGTAATTCCCTCCCTCACCTCCCCTCTTTTCATAACCAGCAGATTCCTGGCAGTCCACAACTCCCATTCCACTGCTCCATGCAATGCTTCTGGGAAGTGTCTCTAAATATCACATTTTGTGTCCAAGCTTCACACATGTACTAGTTTTTTCATTTAAACATTTGAGATAATAGTATCTTTCAAATTATTCCTTTTTTTTTTTTGTTAACTCATCCCTTTTAAAGATTTAAACCCCACCTTAATTCAATTTATCATATAAGAAACACACCACATTATAACAGTTAAGAGAAATAGAACATGAAAAAAAAATCAAATTTCAGAACTTCAACACTCAGGTTATCAAATATACAAACAATCAAAAAATGCAGAGTAAAAAAAATAAAAATATAAGCACAAGAAGCAGTTGGCCAGTTACTCTACTATCATGTATATACCACCTGTCTAGAGCCAGCCTTCTCTTTGGAGAGCTTTGGGTTGACTGAAGACGGCAGCTATCCCTGCACCATGGGCAGCAGAGGAGAAGTCTTAGTCACTTACCCTCAGAGGCTACCCTTTGATCAAAAGAGTACAGAAAAGAAAAGTCAAAACTGGTTCTCTACACACAGGTCACAGTACCAGACAGTTCAGTCAGCAGAAATATGGTCTTTGGATTCACTAAAGGTGTTTTGGTTTGTTTTTTTTTTTTTCAGACCATTGGTATTGTTAAAAAAGCATTATGGTTTATAAAAGCATTATTTGGTGAAGATTAAGATGTGGAATTTTACAGAAGCTTCCCACCCCCGAGCAAATATTTATTAAATGACAGCAATAAGGCAGAAAACATTTCTTGGGAAATACGAATCCAGGCTATCCATCTATCCAGTCTTAGAAGCTGACATCTTGCATTATCCACATAGCTAAAAGAAATTTATCTGTGCTGAGGTCTACATACACCCAAAAACAAGCTCAGGCCCTGGGAAAAGCCATTTCCCAGCACTGGGAACAGACTTGAATTACACCCAAGTTTTCCCTGAAGAAAACCCCAAGGGAACAACTCTAAACCCACCCAAGCTTTTCCCTTCAGCTGGAAAGTGAGAGCAGAGAGGAGGGAAGTGAGAAGTCAGGGTGGAAAGCTACCTTACCATTAAAACACTGCCTCGAACTTAAGAGGCCGCTCAACATTTGGGAAGTAGTTTGGGGCACACCAAGGACAGTGGAGCTGTCTGGGGTGGCCCCAAGCACTGCTGAGCAATGCTGCCCAGTGCCTCAAGTGACATATTTCTGCTACTGCCCCTTCTGGTCTCTTAGAACAAAGAAAATCAACTTACCATGAGGTCTGGACCAGGTGTTGGTTACGTTCACATTCTAATACCTGAAGGTACATAACGATTATCTGGAAGATATGGGTTATTGAGTTATTAACAAGCATCTGGAGAGCCACCTGCTCATTTCAGAGGGACATCCATGAGGCATCTGTGATCCTCTCTCAAGGCTTAAACACTCCTCATGAAGTGTTTGCACAATCCCCAGTGTTTATCCATACCAGCTCTGAACTTCTCAGCCCTTCTGTCCTGATACTCTCAGCCAGGCCTCGTCTCCACCTGGATTTGATTGAGGGATTTTGTGGAATGGTTTTGGGATTTTTGTGGATTGATTCTGTTCTCCTACAAACCTCACAAATCCTTTTTTAGCTGCAGCCTGGAGAAGAAAAGCTGCTGACTGCAATCAGCAGTGAGGGAAGTTGGCAGTGCTTGCAGAGAACAGACCTAACACTGTGCACACTGTGCCATGGTTGTTCAGTTCTGAGGGGTTTTCCTTTGCTTTGGAAGGAAAACAAGGCTGCAGAGAGGAAGAATAATGGCAGAATTCACCCCAATTAGCAAACCACAGCTGCCCTCTGGGGTGGGTGACAAAAGGAAATTCTGAATGTCAAGAAGCTCAAAAAGGCAGCTCCGAACAAGAGTTTTTTAGAGGAGAAAAGAGCAAGACTCAAATTGTGTTGGCACAGAAATAGAAGTTCTTTTACCAGTTAAGGCACAATTAAACACTTGAGGCAATTGTATCTTTCAAGTATCATCCACTCTGACACTTGTTACTTTTATACTGAGCCTTGCCTCGGTGCTAGCTGAGCCTGAGCGTGGTTTTAACACACCCTAAACACTAAACTGCCTCACAGGACTTTAATACCTCAGCACGTTCCCAGCAGGAATGACTGTGACAACCCCAAGCCTCCAAATTCCTCCCTGCTTGGGGAATCTAAGTCCAGGTGATGTTTTTCCACCACCAAAGCTACCTACTGATCCAATTTGCCTTCCAGGAATACTGAGCACCTGCAGCCACCTCGCCGTCACTCAGCAGTGATACGAGAGCAATTAGTAAGAGTCTCTTAAATGAGAAAGAAAACATCAGGATGGTAAGAAAACTAATCTCACTGAATTCACTGATTAGCACAGTCCACAGAGCTTCCAGGCAGCCTCCTCAAAGCTTTACAGGACATGAAACATTGGTTATGTAGTGAATTTGTAAAATACCAACCTTGTGAGGGTGCTTCACGTGAACACAAAATCCCAACTCCTTCAACACTCTTCTCTCTGCTTTAATTATTTGATTCTTCAAGTTCACATACTCTTGATCCAATATTAGAGGCACAGGTTTTCTGCAAGACAAGGTCAAACTCACAAGATGATTATCTTAACCCTTAAGGAAACTCAAGCTGAGTTGTGTAAAAATATTTTTAAAACACATTATTTATAAAATGAAAAACATTTATTACTAAAACAGGACAGCTCACTCCATGAGATCACTTTGAAATATTCCTTGATTTATGAAAAAGGGAATGATGGTGTTGTGATAATTCAGATTATTCTGCCCAAACACAGATAATTGAGATTATTCTGGATTCTCAGCTTACTTTTTCTCCCTCAGGTGTCTGAGCCGATGGAACACATTGATCACGTCCCGAATGCGTCTGGGGGCTTCCTCAATTTTGGATGCCAGATGGACACAGGCCATGGACACATGCTGAAAAACAAGCATAAAATATAATATTTTACATAATATTTCATTTCCAGTTCAGGAATTGAGCTCCTACAAAATCTTAAGGAGGGAAAACAAAATGTGGTAAAACAAGAAAATATCAAATATTAAAAAAACCCCACCATTAAATATCTCTATAAAATCATGTTTCTCTGTAGCTGTAATCTCCAGAGGAGTCCCTAACACTGCTCACATCTCAGATAACAACTTGCCGAGAGAAATCAGAACATAAATATGGAAACAAATGCCATCGAATGCCTTCTTACCTCCATGGAATGCTTCACAAAAGACTTGGTATAAAAAAACCGCTGGAATAACACCTGTCCTGTAGCCATAGCCACCTAAAAAAAGAGAAAATCACAACAGCCATGAACAAAACTGCCGATTCCAAAGAGAAATTTTAATAGGTTTAAGACCCAGAAGATTAACTAAGCATGGGAGGAAGCTCAGTGCTATCTAAAATACAATTACTACTTAAGTAATTAAATTGCCCAGGACATTATCAATACTTCTTACAAGTCAAATACAGACAGAAAATCTCTATTTAATTTTAGAAAAAATGTGGAAATATGACAAAAAGTTATTAAATTAATAATAAACAACAAGGAAAAAATCCAAAAAGCCAATAAAGTTCAAACGTATGAAACTACGTCAGAAAAAAAAATTGTTTTTTGGGCGTGGAAAGCGAGGAGCAATCTAATCGCGTCACGATTTGCATAAATTTGAATATGCTAATGATCGGTAGCTGGAAAATCTTACGCTCAGACAGTAACGAGCCGGTTTGGCCCGAAGTTCTCCGGGGAAACAAAACCTCCCCGAGGTCACCGCGGCTCCAGGGGAGCCTTAAGAAATCCGTCTTTGCACAATCCTGAAGCGAAGGCGGCGCAGGGCGGCCCGGAACGAGCCCCGAACACCGGGCGGCGCCGCGGCCTGCCCGGCCGGTAACCGCGGCCCGGCCCCGGACGGTCACCAGAGACCGGTTATCACAAAAAACGACCCGGTTGAGTCCCAGCCCACTCCCTGCCCGCGCCCAGCCCCACCTGCGGCAGCCGCAGCAGGATCCCGGCCGCCTGGATCAGCTCGCAGCCGGTGACGCGCAGCTCGGTCTCGGTGTCGGCGTCCAGGCCGCTGCTCATGGAGGGCGTGAAGCGCAGCGTGTGCTCGGGCAGCAGGCAGTTCTCCAGCGTAATCAGCACGCCCGAATACAGCCGGTCGCCGATCAGCACCGCGCCGGGACCCGGTACCGGGGCGGGAGCCGCCCCGGCCGCCTGAGGGCCCGCGGGGCCGCCGCCACCCGCCGCCGCCGCCATTTTGTGCCGCCGCCGCCTCGCTGGCTCCGCGCTCCTTCTCCTTCCCCCCCGGCATCCGCCCCGCGCCGATTGGCGGAGCGCGGCGGGGCCGCGGCCGCTGATTGGCTGAGGGGCCGTGACGCACGACGCCGCCCGGGCCGCGCGCGGCGCGGTGACGCAGCGGCCGAGAATCCGGACAGGGCGGGGCCGCGGCGCCCTCAGAGCCCTCAGAGCCCCTCAGAGTTCCCGGAGGCCCTAAAACCCCTCAGAGCCCTCAAAACCCCTCAGAGCCCTCAGAGCCCCTCAGAGTTCCCGGAGCCCCTAAAACCCCTCAGAGCCCTCAGAGCCCCTCAGAGCCCTCAGAGCCCCTCAGAGTTCCCGGAGCCCCTAAAACCCCTCAGAGCCTTCAAAACCCCTCGGGAGCCCCCAGAGCCCTTAGGCCGGGACCGCCCCATGAGGTGGCTGGAACACAGCGCTCACCGAGTTAAATATCTTTGTTTACTCCCTAAAAAACCAGACTATGCGCTCACCGAATTAAATATTTTTGTTTACTCCGTAAAAAAACACACTGCGCACTCACCGAGTGAAATACCTTTGTTTACTCCCTAAAAAAACAGACTATGCACTCAGCAAATTAAATATCTTTGTTTACTCCCTAAAAAACCAGACTATGCGCTCACCGCATTAAATATCTTTGTTAACTCTCTAAAAAACCACACTGTGCGCTTACCGAGTGAAATATCTTTGTTTACTCCTTAAAAAACCAGACTATGTGCTCACCGAATTAAATATTTGTTAACTCCCTAAGAAAACCAGACTATGCGCTCAGCAAATTAAATATCTTTGTTAACTCTGGCTATGCGTGTCCTTAACGTGCGGCCGGCCAAGGTTCATGTGAGGGCTGACGTGTTGCTCCCCACCCCAGCTGGGTTTTCCCCTTGCAGCACCAGAATTTCACCGCACATATTGTTTCTCTGTAGCAGTTACCAACAAAAATATGTTTAGTGTTAAGTCCTTAACAGAACAGGCTGTTTGTCCTTCACCCAAAGGCTGTGGGGGCTCAGGTCTGAGGGCTGACATCTCCCTCACACTCTGGACTGGTTTTTTGCTGTGCAGCACCAGAACTCACCATAAAATATGTTTCTCCACAGCAATTATCAAAAAATTACCTTTATTAAGTTTTTATGTGCGTCCTTAACACAGGGGCCACATGTGAGGGTCGACATCCTGCCCTTCCTCCATCCCCTGGCTGTATTTTCCCAATGAAGTGCCAAAATTAACACAAATTGTTTCCCCATAGGAGTTTTCAATAGAAATGTCTTTATTAAATCCTTAAAAGTACAAACTATGTGTGTCCTTAACACCCAGGCTCCACGTGTGAGGGTCAACATTTCCCCCCATCCCAGCTGCGTTATCCCATTCAGTGCCAGAATTCACCACACAAATTAGGTTTTTTTCCTAATGGCAGTTACCAAAAAAAATACCTTTATTAAGTCACTGTATGGCCTGACTGCTAACCTTGAAGTGTGCTTTTAATTTAACAGGTTTCAGTGACTACAACACAGGGAAAAAGCCATCAGGGAGAAGCTTCACACCCACACGATCCTCAGAGGATTTGTTCCACATTTTCTGTTTCAGCAGCAGTCCCACGACAGGTTTGCTTCACAATCAAATCCCTGCTTCTAAAACATGTACACAGACTCTGATATCAATAGTGATGGTGCACAATACGTGAAAATATTCCCTCTGGTTCTTTTCCATCTCCCAGGGCAGCCAGGAACCCTTCCTGTCTCCTCCTCTGGGCTAAAGCTGCCAGGGACTTGAATGTCTTTGGCTCATAAATTGCCAAGTCAGCCAGAACTTTTCTGTTCAGCTCCACCTGGGACTAAAGGCAAGAAAAATTGTTGGTTAAGGACTGTGATTTTTAGGAACAACACCACAATTCTTAGTTTTAAATATTTTTAAATTAAATAGGTTTTATTAAATATAAGAAAATTTTATTAGTATATAAAATTAAATTTGTTTATTTTATTAAATATAATGAACACTTTATTAAATATAATTAACACTCTTTACTGTTTATATAAACACTCTTCATTAAGAATGATTAAACACTCTTAAGGCTTAAGACCTGAGGTCTTAAAGCAGATTAGCTTTTTTCTACCCTGTGCAATTTGGAGCTGTTAAAGACTGTCAGACACTCCCTGGCCATGGATGTCTCATTAACCCACCATGTAAAAATTATTTCCTGCCTTTCTCTAAAGTTTTTCTGGTAGAAACCAAGAACCGAAGAAAAATCCCCAATTTTGCTCAAGGCCACATGTTCCAGATGAATCCATGGCATCTGTTTCAGCTCAAATAAATTAAAACAGAATCACCAAATTGAAACAAATTCCCAGCATGTTTTAAAAACAAGGGACACCAGCACCAAGTTTCTGCATTCTCCACGCTCACCAAATCACAGTTATAGTGAAAAGAATAAGGATTTCTTACGTTTTTTGGGTTTTTGCTAATCCAAGCTTTGTATTTTTAAATCTCTTCAAGTAAAAAGAAAAGCAGCTGTCACTGAATGTCCACAAAAAAAAAAAAAACCAAGAAAACAACAAACAACGCTTTAAAAGTCTCATTCCTAAGTTTTGGGGACAGAATGTGAGGTAGAGCCATAATGTTCACCAGGATAAAAGAGAATAATCCATATAGGGAAGAGAAACAGTTTAGGGCACAACTTAGTTCCTGAAGTGGATGAAACTGCTTTCACAAGCAGAAGGGCTTTCATCACTCTAATTAGTAAATAATTATCCTCCAAAGCACATCCTTACCTTGACCAGGTTGCTTATGAAGGCTGGGTACTTCAAACCATGTTCAAGGGAAGCTGCTTCAATCCTTGTGATCCAGAGCTGAAGGTGTAAAAAAATCAATATATTGCATGATAAAATACTTTAAAATAAACCCTTTGCCACGCCGGTCTGCTCCCACTTATTAAATATGACATTTTCAAGGAATATCGTGAGCTGGAAGGGACCCACAAGAAAATGCTGCTTTCAACTCCTACTTTTCACTTAGAAACTCTGGGGGGTTGTTTTTAAACCCCTCAGAGTAATAAAAGCAGTTGTTTCACTTCTGCCTGGCTCCCATTTTGATGTTTCCACCCAACATTTTGCTCTTTACCGCTCTGAGGAATCTTTTCTTCTCCCTCCTGGCCTTGGTGGACCTCACAAAAGCCCTGCGGACGCTCCTCACTGCCAGCTTGTAGCAGCGGTTCTTCCTGCCACGAAAATGCTGCAAAAAAAGACCCAGAATGATCGAATTCATTTAGATTTAAAGATATAACACTAATAAAGCTCATTTGCATTCACGGCCCTCCACAACAAGGATCTCTGAACCCTCCACAAGCACCCCCTAAGCCTTCAGCTGGCACGTAATGAAAATATTCTTTTCCTTGTTTTTTTTTAACTGTGGAAATATATGGAATGTAATGTCATATGGAATATAATATCATGGAAATGTCATTTTTATCATGGAAAACCCGAAGCTGAGGAGTTGGAGCAGGGTGGAAAAATCTCAGTTCAGCAGAGGCAAAACCAGACCTGACTTTGGGCTGTGGTTCTGTGGGAAAGGCAATCACAAAACCATGGGCAGTGCTTTCACTCAACACTGAATCCACTTATTTATTCTCATTCCTGAGCTGCCCTCTGTTGTATGAACACAGGGATAGGGCATTTGATTTGCCAAAAACAGAAAAAAAAAATTAAATTTGTTTTCTGACATCCATCTAACACAACACAGGGGGATGTGGGCACAGGGGGATTGGGGCACAGGGGGATGCGGGCACAGGGGGATGCGGGCACAGGGGGATGTGTGGGCACAGGGGGATTGGGGCACAGGGGGATTGGGGCACAGAGGGATGCGGGCACAGGGGGATGCGGGCACAGGGGGATTGGGGCACAGGGGGATTGGGGCACAGGGGGATTGGGGCACAGGGGGATGCGGGCACAGGGGGATTGGGGCACAGGGGGATTGGGGCACAGGGGATTGGGGCACAGGGGGATTGGGGCACAGGGGGATGGGGGCACAGGGGGATGCGGGCACAGGGGGATTGGGGCACAGGGGATGCGGGGGTCCCGCACTCACCCGCGCGTACTTGAGCACCTCCTGCACCCTCCAGAAGCGATCCGAGAGGCGGCTGCGCACCCAGCGCGCCGCGCTCAGCACCACCATGGCTGCGGCCCGGCACGGCGCCTTCCGGGGCGGCACCCGGGCCCGCCCGCCTTCCTCCGAGCCTGCCTTGGGCCTTCCTCCGATCCTGCCCCGAGCCTTCCTCCGATCCTGCCCCCGGTTCTTCCTCTGATCCTGCCCCCGAGCCTTCCCCTGATCCTGCCCCCGAGCCTCGCCGGGCTTCCTTAGGACCTTCCCCCGGTCCTTCCCCTGATCCTGCCCCCGAGCCTTGCCGGGCTTCCTCAGGACCTTCCCCCGGTCCTTCCTCTGGTCCTGCTCCCGAGCCTTGCGGGGCTGCCTCAGGACCTTCCCCCGGTTCTTCCCCTGATCCTGCCCTCAGCCTTCCCGGAGCTTCTTTCAAACCTTCCCCCGGTTCTTCCTCTGGTCCTGCCCCCAGCCTTCACGGTCCTTCCTCCAGTCCTTCCTCCGGTCCTTCCCTTCCCTTCCCCTGCTTCTTCTTCTGATCCTTCCCCTGAGCCTTCCCGGTCCTTCCTCCCGTCCTTCCTCCAGCCTTTACCCCGGTTCTTTCTCCGGTCCTTCTCTTGATTCTTGCCGGTCGTTTTTCCAGCTCTTCCTCCAGTTCTTCCCCTTCTCCCCATCTTCCCCTTGCCCTTCCTTCAGTCCTGCTGTCCCCAACCCTTTTCCCGGCTCTTCCCCAGCCTTTCTGCCTCCCCCGGCTCCTCTCTCACAGCACAGTGGCTTTTCCCTGATAGTTTTATAAAAACTATCCTTTGCCCCAGCCTGAGGACAGCCGTGGAATCACGGAATATCCTGAGCTGGAAAGGACCCACCGGGATTATCCAGCCCAGCCCCTGGCCCTGCACAGACACCCCAAAATCCCACTCTATGCACCCCTGGGAGTGTTGTCCAAACCCTCCTGGAGCACTTGGAGCTGTGCTCGTTGCCTGGGGAGCCTGGTCAGTGCCCCAGAAGAGTCTAGGGGATGAACCTTGCCCAAAATCCAGCCTAAACCTCCCCTTGGTCAGTGCCCCAGAAGAGTTTAGGGGATGAACCCTGCCCAAAATCCAGCCTAAACCTCCTCTGACACAGCTGCAGCCATTTCCTCAGGTCACCAGAAACCTTCACCCTCTTGGTGAAGAACCTTTAGCTGATCCCAGCCCTCTCCAGCGACCACGACACCCTCATCATCACCTGCCCGAGGTGTGACCCAAAGCAGCCCAAACGCAGAGCCCAGCTGGGAGCAGGCACACACGGTGTGCTGGGGTTGTACCAAAATTCCCTGTGAAAAGGAGCTGGCTTGCTTGGAATGTGCATCCCCATAGCTCAGTGAGGGATTTGGGATTTTGTATCCCCAGCAGCACTCCAGCCACCAACGTGAGAAGATCTGGTGTTGTTTTTGGTGGCTGGGAGGATTCCATATGGATAATAAGCCTTACAGCATCCTCTAAGGGTTAGGGTTAGAGAATAAGAGACATAAATTGAAAATTTATGAACTGCAGCAAACCACAAGATGGTGCTGCCAGAAAATGATTCCATGGGCGCAGCAGTCCTTGGCGTCAGAGAACTGATGGATTTCTGATGCTCTTTAACCATCACCACTTCCAGCATCTCAAAGCAATCATGCTCCTGTTATAAACTGCTCCATCATCAAGATCTTCCCCACTTCTGGGAAAGTTCTTGTCAAGAGTGTGGAGATTTCAGAGAATTAGAGAGAAATCTTTCTTCATATCGCTGAGGTTTGTCTGACACAAAGTTCGCTTGGTTATTACAAGAACCTTTAGAAAATATATGTACAGAACACAATTTTCAGACCTTCCTGAAAAGGTTAAAATGCATTTTCATGACAGCAAAAGAATTTTGGAAAGTTTCACTGGATTTAGCAAAGCTTCTTAGAATTTTATGGCACTTTTATGAATGCTTAAATTGTGTTTCACCACACCCCTGGGCCATCACCAGCAGATGGTAAAAGCAGCTGTAGGATTTTAGCTGCCCAGCACCGTGTTAATCTTTCCATGGTTTAAGCCTAAAATTGATTTCTCTTCCTATAGTTTTGAGTTGGGTTCTTTCTGTTTGTATGACTCGTCCTTTTTTTCACTTCAAAAACATAAATCAAATTTGAAAAATATTATGTCTTTAAATCTAAACAGAGTCTAGACAGGCAAAGTAACCACTGAGACTCTCAGAGCTCCCTGCCACTTGTCACATTTATGGTTTCCTGCCCAGCTTTGGATTTTATTATTAACACTGGCTCTGGCCTGTGCAGCGCTGAAAACAGGATGGATGCAGCAGTTATTTCCCTGGGGATGTCTGGACAGATCTGAGAAGAGATTTCCCATTTTGCAGCTTGAGTGGAGGCTGCTGCCCTGCAAACCCCCCTGGGAGCCATCCAGCCCCAGAGTGCAGGGAAGGAACACGATGGAAATGGACTTGTCACACTCTGCTGTCTGCCTGAGAGGTTGTTTCTCTCTGTATTTTTTAATATCTGTCTCTTATTACTCTCACTGTATCTTGGAGGCTACACAGGCATGGAGATGGCACTGAAATTCTTAAATAATATTGATCTTATGAGGTAGATGAAATAATTGATAATTGCTGTGCCTCCTCTATGAGAGTATCAATATGTTCTGCAAACATTAACAGATGACTGCAGGGAACAGCTGATTTCTGAGGAATACAGTGATTATTATCAATTTCTCTTAGGTTTTTTTTTAATCTAGAGAGGAATTTTAGAAAATGAATCGGAGGAAGAATAATTAAAGTTGGAGAGGGACCATCTTGAGCTGGGGATGGATGGCTGGAGCGTGGCTCTGGTGTGCTGCGTGTTCAATCCCATCCGTGGGGAGACAGATGTGAAGGATTGGCAGCACAGAGAGCACTGAGGCTGTTCTGTAAACACAGCAGCCTTGCAAAGCTGAGCTCAGAAGGGACCACACTGCTGGGTGTGAGTGGCTGTGACTGCAGGCAGCTGAGAGCAGTGACAGCACCACACACTGCTCCATCTCTGCTGCAGGGGAGGGCAGCAGGGCTCCAGAGGCTGGGGAGCAGCTCCTGCCCTTCCTCTTCACTGCTCACCTCCTTTGGATGAGACTTGGGCAGGAATATTTGCTTGGCTACAAGGTGAAGAGCATGGGAAGGTGATTTGAAGACAAGGAACTGCCTGTGGGTGCCTAAACCTGATATTCTCAGCACCCAGAGCTGATATTCTGAATACCGAAGCCTGATCTGATGAACACCTAAGCCTGACATCCTGAACATCTAAACCTGATATTCTGAACCTAAACCTGACATCCTGAACACCCAGCTGGGCTCCAAGGTGGTGGGGGATACCAAAGCCCACTGAGCAGCCCATCACAGCCACCACAGCAACCCTTTGGAACCTCTTGGGATCGTAATCCTGGGAAAAACAACAGCAAATTCCGTAGGACTCTGGATTCTAAACCAAAATAAAAATTACTGCCAAACTTCCAGCAGATCTACTTTGGGACTGAGGCTGGGAAAAGCATCTGAAGGAAGCAAACTGTGCTGAGCAGGGGGCCCAAGGAGAGCTTTCCTTGCTTGCTCCATGATGATCTCTGCTTAAGGGCTCCTGGCCACGTGTGGAAGAGGCAGAAGAAACCTTTGCAAGCTCCTTCCCATCTCTGTTAGACCTAAAGCGAGGAAATACTTTTGGATAAGAGCGTGGGTTGGTGGATCTTCTTGAAGGATGTCTGGCCAGGAGCCTGAGGACTTTGGAGCAGAAATGGTGTCGGAAAAGTCCCGGATGATGCCTGGGCTCCCCCCGTATGACATGGACGAGCGGCTCCTGCCCGGTGAGCCCCGCAGCCCCTGCTGCTGCCTGGCCTGGACCCTGCTGATAGGAACCATCAACTCCCTGCTCTTCCTCCTGAATTTGCTCCTGATGTTTGTTATTTTCACCGTCGTGCTGCTTCCTACCATCGTGGTGGTTTACTTTGGTTTCCAGTGCCACTCCCAGGTAAGTGCCACTCCTCGAGGGCAGGGCCACACCTGAGGGTTCCTTGGAGCCCCAGGTGAGCGGTGGCTGTACAGGCCAGGCAGGACTCCCCAAGTTTTGGTTTTGTTTCCCTGAGGAAACAGATTTTTCCCTGTGTGAATAGTCTGGGCTGACAAGGAAAATTGGGCAATGAAGTTGTGTCCCCATGGAAGTGCCAAGCTGAGGTGCCAGGTGAGGTGAACACGCTCCCTGCCCTGGTGGAGTTGCTGTTTGCATTTTAATTTCACAATATTTCTCTCTTCCCTGGGAGTTTTTGTCACTGAGAGCTGCCAACCTGAGCTCCAGAGCTCACAGTCCTGCCTGGGCTCTGGTAGGGTTTGCTGCTTTCTGTTTAAGTGAGTTTAAAATCCATTAGGACCTGTCTAATGATAGGATTAGTAAAATCTGACACAATATATAATCCCCTTCTCATGCCAGTCTAACATTGCTGTTCCCAAACATTCTGTGCATTCCTCACACCAAAAATGAGCCTCCTTTGTCCATCCAGGCTCTCTTTGCTGCCCTCTGCATTTGCATCATTTCCTTATTTACAAACCCATTCTTCGTATATCCCTTTAAATATTTTTGGGATCACTTGACCACGGGCAGATATTAAAAAACAATTCCCTGTTTTCCTTGCAGGCATGGACTGTTAGACCAGCTCAATGAGCCTTTTTCATTAAGTCATAAACAGGGCCTGCAAATTGGACTGAAAATGGGAAAAAAACCTCCCAGAACTGCCCCTTCCAGCTTCCCTCACCTTGGAAAACCCCAAATTCTCCTCTGCACACACACTCAAAGGCTTGGAGGAAATGCAGAATGTTTTTGAGTGCAGCCAAGTGGACCAGAAGTGGAAGCCCCTGAGCTGCTGGAAGCTGTGAGGAGTCTTTTAAACTCAGCTTTTTCTTTATTGCAATCATAGCAAGGGATTGTGGTTCCTCCAGAGCTGTTTTTGAGCTTCTCAGCAGCCAGAGGCTGATTTCTGCACTGCAGCTCCATTAGGTGGATTTATTGTTCGTTTTTAGCATGGTGGGTTGTGTTCCTTTCACTGCTGAAAGGAGAAAAGAATAAAATCTGGGGACACAGAGGCTGCCAGCGTGGAAGGAGGGTTTGAACCACCACTCAGGCAGGCCCAGGGAGGTTTTCTTTGCAAGTGGCAGGTTTTTCAGGCAGAAATGAGTGTACACACCACGGGGTCTGGAGAGCCACAGAATGACCAGCATCTGTCTGCAGAATCGAACAGATTTCTGTATTTCTACTTATTTCTATTTATATATTTTTTTTATTTATAAAGATATTTTACATTAATTTTTATTTATATAAAAATATACATGTATATATTTGATATAAATTTATAATATAATATATTTTTGTTTGAAAATAGTTATTTATTTATTTGTTTTTCCCAGTGTTGTGCTACCCACACAGACACAGCACCAGGTTTTTTGATTTGGTTTGTGCCTATCAAATGCTATTGGATGATTGAATAAAGATGAGTGCTTCCTGCTCCAGGATCAGTGTGCAGTGCTCCTGTCTCACAGGGATAATTGAAAGCTTGATTAAGATGTGATATCAGTCACAGAGTGTACCTGAGGATCGCTCAGCTCTGAGAGAGGGAGCAACAGAAAATGTTTTCTTTTTCCATGAAAACGTTGGAAACTCAAGGGTGTTTTGGCCATTGCTGTCAGCACCAGGGCACACGACAGGGCTGGGTTCGTGTGGGACTTTTCACAGAATCCACAGAATCCACAGAATTCCAGAATCCACAGAATCACAGAATCCACAGAATCACAGAATTCACAGAATCACAGAATTCACAGAATCACAGAATCACAGAATTCACAGAATCCCAGGTTGCAAGAGACCTTCAAACCCAACGAGTCCAACCCAGCCCCAACAGCTCAGCTCAACCCTGGCACCCAGTGCCACATCCAGGCTTTGTTAAACACACCCAGAGATGGAGAATCCACCACCTCCCTGGGCAGGGAGAACTTTATCCCCCTTTCTGTAAAAAACTTCATCACCCTTTCTGTCAAAACCCTTATCACCCTTTCTGTAAAAACCTTTATCCCTATATCCAACCTGTATTTCCCTTGGTGGAACTCAAGGCTGTGTCCTTGGTTCTGCCAGTTCCTGGAGAAAGAGCCCAACCCCACCTGGCCACAGCCAAATTTCAGGGAGCTGTAGAGAGGGATAAGGTCACTCATTGGAGCTTTTTTCCAATTTAATGATCCTGGTTGTGCTTCTCTCTCTCCCCACAGGTGCTGCACTCCTCTGCCCGCTACTGCAAGAGCATCCTGGATGACAACAGCTCCTCTGCCCTCATCATCCTGGGCTTTGTCATCATGTCCCCACTGCTGGTGGTGGCCATGGCCATTTACTGCAGCCTGGCACGGCGCCTGCAGCTCCTGGTGTGCTTCCAGCCCTACAGCCTGGCCCTGTACAAGGGGGGCCGCTGGTGCCACTGCAGGGAGGGGGCTCTGTGCTGTGCCAGGGGCTGCAGCACCCAGCTCAGGGCCTGGGTGTGACCCTGCAGCACCAGCAGTGTCCCCTCCCTGTGCCTGTCCTCATCCTCAGCCCTCCCTGCAGAGCTGCCACTGCTCAGCCAGGTCACCCTGTGGTTTACCCCAAAAATCTGCAATGGAAACACATGTGGGACGGGTATAAGGAGAGCAGGGCAGCTTCATCTTCCAAATCACCCTGTGGTTTATCCCAAAAATCTGCAATGGAGTGAAAATACAGCATGGGACAGGAGTGGGGTGGGCAGGGCAGCTTCATCCTTCCAAATCCTCCCATCCTTCCAAATCACCCTGTGGTTTACCCCAAAAATCTGCAATGGAAACACATGTGGGACAGGTATAAGGAGAGCAGGGCAGCTTCATCTTCCAAATCACCCCGTGGTTTATCCCAAAAATCTGCAATGGAAACACAGCATGGGACAGGTGTAGGGAGGGCAGGGCAGCTTCATCCTTCCAAATCCCCTCTGGTGTTGTTTTTGGTGTTGTTTGTTGGTGTTGTTCCTGCTCATCACTGGCTGCTGTCCCCTTCAGAACCATTTTGTCTGCCCTTTAGAACCATTCCCAGTTTTCTGGAGAAATAAAGTTTGTGCCCAGTCCCCCCTGGAGGAGTTCACTCTGTCTCAAAGCTGTGGCTGCAGCAGAACCACCTCTTGTTCTCCACTTGGTAGCACTGTAAGGTAAAATGGAATTTTTGTTCCCTTCCTGAGGATTGATTTTTCCTGCTATTTGCCCTGTGTGGCCGTGATACCACCCAGAGGAATAACCAGGGGTGGCTACCGGGGGAAGTGAACTGGAGGGGAAAAAAATAAAAAGGAGGAAAATGAGTTGACATTTTCTGACAAGACTGAAGAAAACCACGAAAGTTGTGCTCCAGACAGGGAGATCGTGCTGGAGGATAACCAGGTTTTGCCTGAGGGCAGTGTCTGCTCACAGGGTGCAGATATTTGATATGAGCTGCTGTTCCTTTTGCTCACCTGTTGTTTAATCCAACTGCTTTTAAAAGGAAAACACTCTTCAGCCTGGCAGGGCTGCAGGTATTGTAATGAACCCTCCCCACTGCTGTCCCTGCAAAGAAACCCAGAATTATTTGCTACAGCCTCCCCAATAAAGCAAACTTGCATTTCATTTAGTATTTCGTTTCACAGAGCATTTAATAACGAAGGGGAAATGAATTTACCTGCAATGCCACAGAGAGCAGACAGCCCAGGCTGTACCTCAGGGTGTCCTGGCAGGGCACAGCCCCAGCCAGGCATTCCAGCAGTGCTGCAGCTCCCAGGCGAAGCTGGATTGATCCTAAATTTCCTGTGGAGAGCCCAGAGCCTGATCCCAAACCTTGGATCAGGTCCTGGGGCAGCTGTGCCAGCCTGCAGGGACTGTGCCACAGATGTGGGGGATCCCTGGCTCTGCCTCCTCTTCATTCCCACAGGCAGGGCTTTGTCCTGGCAGCTCCCAAACCAGCCCAGAGCACAGCAGGGAGGACAGAGAGAAATTTATTTTCACTGGGTTTTTTTTGTTTTGTTTTTTTTTTTAAGTGCAACAATGCGTGGATTTAATCCCCCTGCAAGATCTCCATGCTCAAAGCCTGACCTGGTTCTGAGGCACTCAGAGGACACAAAAACACATTTCCTTTGGTCAGGCCCGTGTTTGTTATTTGTGCTTCCCTGTCCCTGGCTGGTCCAGGTGAAGCACAGGAAGAAGTCTCAGTGGTTATCAGATGCCTTCAGCTGTTGGAACACTCAGCTGGGGGTGCTGCAAACACAAACCATCTGTCAAGCTGAGCTGAGATCAGGAAGAGCATCTTCCAGAGCCAAGGACAACAGAGAGTTTATTGGAAGGATGCTCCATTCCTGCTCTGAGGGAGGCCAGGGGAAAGGAAGCTGGAACCTGCTGCACATACCATGAGAGGATGTGCTGCTCCCCAGCTCACACCGGGCACTCCAACGCTCCAAGGGCTTCATTTTCTGTGCAAAACTCTCCAGCTAATTTGGCAGGATCTGCATGGTGATTTAACATGGTAATAAAGCCCCTATAACATGTTCTGGACAGTTCCTTGTGCTCTCTCCATTGCTTCACTGAAACTTGAGTGTCTTCAGGGAAGTTCCCTGTGCTCCCTCCCCTCTCTCCAACTGGGCACTGGTGATTGTTTCCAGCTCTGCTGGAGGACTTGGTTAGAATGGATGGAAGTGATTAAAGAAGAGACTTTTTAAGGAAAAAAAAAAAAAAAAAAAAAAGGGACTTTTTAAGTGATTAAGGAAAAAATAATCTGGGAGTGCCTGCAAGGGCTCCTTCTGTCAGCTGATATTGTAAATGCAGGGGAGCCCCGAGGGGAGAAATGCTGATGTGTGACTGCAGCTCAGAGGCTGAATGATTTTCTTTATTATAACTATGCTATAATACATTAATATACTATTTAAAGGAGATACTAAAGCTACAAACCCACTTTTTCTAACTCCTAGACTCACTCACAACTCGTGACCCTCTCTGAGAGCCCAGCCCCAGGTGGGTTGGATTGGCCACCAGCTCAAACAATCCCCACCAGAACCCAACCAAGCCATCACCCCAGGGAAACAATTCTCCAAACACATTCCACATGGGAAAACCAAGGAGCAGAAATAGAAATTGGTTTCTCTTTCTTTCCTCTGTGCTCCTCTATGAAAAATCCTGGAAGACAGAAAAATGTGCCTGCCACAAGCTGATCCTCCAGAGTGGGGCACAACCTGCCCTGGGAATGCTCCCCTGGGCACTGAGCTGGCTGTCACCTCTGTCTCAGTTTGAACAGCCTGGTGTCTGCTGAGGAAGGCAGGAGCCTCCCCACTTTTAGAATTCTAAACATTGCGAGGTCAGAAATAAAATTGGCTCTTCTTTCTCTCTTGAAAACTTCTGTGTACTCATTTCGTGTCCAATAGCAGCAGTTTCCCTCTCTGCTTTCAGGTGCTGCCAGCTCCACTTGTGTCTCCTCCATTGTTCCCCAGCTCAGGACAGAGCTGAGGAAACCAAGCCCTAGGCCCTACATGGATGAACAGAAGTAAAATTAGAAACCAGAGCAGACTTCCTCCAGACTTGCTGCTGCTGGAAGCCCAAAATATCTGCTTTGTCCCTGAGAAGTCTTTCACCAGCTTCCCCTCACCACTCAGGGCTGTTTCAGGCTCACAATATTTGGGGGAAAAATTGCCTTTTGGTGTCTATTTTAGCTGTGCTGGCCAGCAGCCCTCACATTTGGAGTCCCACTGTGACATGCAATGGTGAACTCTCACAATTAAAAGGCAAATATCATATATATATATATATATATATGTTAAGAGAGGTTTTATAGATTTATAGTTATGTTTTACCCCCTTTGTGTTATCAGGGAACATTTGGTAAGGTTGGCTTCTTACTATGGCAGCACCTGACCTCCAATCAGGATTTAAGGATTTAAACTTAAATCCTTAAAGGATTTAAATTTAAATCTTAAACCCTTTACTTAAATGGACAGAGAAGGAGTGGATGGACAGAACTTTGGGAGAGCTAAAGGGTTAAAAGGATTTGTAGGGAATTCTCAAAGGCAACGAGGCTCCTGCTGTTCCCCCATGGGCAGATTCCCTCATGGAAACTCTGTGGGGTCGGGTGATGGGGGAGGGCGTGGGGTTTATGTGTGATTTATGTGTGATTTATGTGTGATTATGTGATGATTTATGTGTGATTTGTGTGATTTATGTGTGATGATTTATGTGTGATTTATGTGTGATGATTTATATGTGATGGTTTCTGTGTGATTTTTATGTGATTTATATGTAATGATTTCTGTGTGATTTATATGTGATTTCTGTGTGATTTTTATGTGATTTATGTGCATGATTTATGTGTGGTTTATGTATGATTTATATGTGACTTATGTGTGATTTGTGTGATTTACATGTGACTTATGTGTGCTGATTTATGTGTGATTTATATCTGACTTATGTCTGATTTATGTGTGATGATTTATGTGTGATTTATGTGTGATGGTTTATATTTGATTTATGTGTGATTTATGTGCAATTTATGTTGATTTATGCTCCACTCTGCTGATGTCCAGGCAGGATTTTCCTGCAGGATTCATTCCCATCCCAAATCCTGGCTCCACGAGGCACCTGCACCTCCAGAGCTCACTGAACTCGTGGAAAAAAGGAAGATTTGGTGAAGAATTGGGGCTTGGAGGAGGAGCTGGCTCAGAGCTCAGAGCCTTATCTCAAGGTGTGCAAACCTTGAGATAAGAAATGCTGATTTAGAAATGCCCTGGGATAGGACAGACATTGTTGAGAGAGAAATAGAACCAGAACAAGTTTCAGAGGATGGCCTTGCAAATAAGACTGGGAACTTTGGAGAAATGGAACTGTGAAAGATGCATTGGAGTAGGAGCCACGAGGGGTGGGTTATTATTTGAATTTTAGATTTATTTAATTGTATATGGTTGGCTTTACGGCAATCATGGTGTGGTAGAGCTCCTATTTCTTCTTGGAGCCAGCTCCCCTCTCTCACACTCCCTTTCCCCTCTGAGTCTCAGCCCCTGGCTGGGACTGTGCCAGTTTTGGGGACAGATGTTGTGACAAAGAGCACTTTTCTCTCAGGCACCAGCTGCCTTCACCTGCTGCTGGCCACGTTTCATCTGCTGTGGGGTCTGGCCCTGCCTGAGGCACAAAAAAACCTTTTTGCTTGAGATGCTCCTTCTGGGCACAGCTGGGCTCCAGATACTCAGAAATCCAGAGAATATTAATTCACAGAGAGGAAATCAGGCAGTGCTTCAGAGCACCAGGGAATTTTAGTTCAGGCTACAGGGAAAGGGTTCATTCAGCCTCCTGATTTCCTGCTTGTTCACGATCCCATACTCCTTATCCCACAGAAACAGAGCAGAGAGAAGGAAAAAACCCCTTTTACCTGGCTGAAATTAAAGATGATTCTATTTTAAAGAACGAAAATCATTCAGCCGAATAAGGGTGTGAATAACTCTCATTTTTCTGGTTTGTTCTCATCCCTGGGCGTGGCTCTGCCTACCTGGGCTAGACCATTCCTGTCAGCACCTGGAAAATCAGCTTTCCTTGGGATTGCACAGGTCCTGTGGGTGCAAATCACCTCAGCTGCTTGGTTCCTGCATGAAGGGCCCTTTGTTCAGGGGGATTTTTGGGGCTTGCTTTTGTCATTTTGCTTGCAACTTCTTGCTGCCCCCCTTGCCACGATTTTAGCCACACCAAGGTGAAAGGCAAAGCGTGTGGGGAGATCTTGGGGGTGTCTCATGGAGAACAGGGTTTGTTGTGCCCTGGGAGCTGGGAAAAGGGAATTTCTGGGTGTACAAATGCTGCAGCAGCAGAATTCCCTCATTCCCACCAAGAAGCAGCAAAGCTGTGTTTGTGCTGAGCCACTCCACAGAAGATTCCCACTGATAATGATTAGGGGGGAAACAGGGGACCAAAATAATCCCTTTTTTTTTTGTCCCAGGACAGCCTTGAAGGAGAAAGGAAAACAATCCCTGGATGGTGGAATTGCAGTCCAGCAGAGCTCCAGAACAGATGCAGCATCTCCCTGTCAGTCCTGCTGGATGTGGCTGCTCAGAAAAAACCCCATGAACATCCTGGAGACGAGGAAAATTCCCTCCAAAGCTTAGCCAAGTGTTTCTCTGGCAGCAGGCATTTCCATGAGGTCACTCTTGGAGTTCCTCCCGCGTCTGGATGGTTCACAAGCAGAAATTTAAATACTTTGGGCTTTGTGACCCCTTGTGTGTCTCACTCTGGTCCAGCGTGGGGCAAAAGGGGCTTTGAGTTCCTGCTGGCATGCTCCAGGATTTGGGATCCTGCAGGATCTGGCTCAGTCTGCAGCTCCCCTGCTCCTTCCAGAGCTGCCTCACAGGAAAGTCTTGTCAGCCCTGACTAATTATCAACTGTAACAAAAGATTATTCAAGATTACTGTAACAAAAGATGATTCCAGGAATCCCTGCACTAAAACTGTCTGCGTTTTGATCTGCAGTCCTGGAAAAATGCTGGATTCGGGGCAGGGTCAGAGGTGCCACATGTGGGGTGAAAAAATGGTGGTTTTTGCTGGGTTCAGCTGGTGGAACCTGCAGCAGTGGTGTCTCCTCACATCCTGCCATGGGTTGGTCTGAAGGGCCAGGAGAGAACAGGGGAAGAACCCCAGAATTCCACCACTGCTTTGGAGATTTGTAGGAATTCCCTGAAGGGAGAGAAGCTTTGGGAGCTCATGATGGAAGCAGTAACATGAATAATGAGGGACTGCAAGCAAAAATCCTTTTTTTAAAGTTTCACTGTTCCATTCTGCATCAATTTCCCTTGGTTTCCCCTCTGGGACATCTCTCCATCCTGTTCCAGGTGTTCCCTCCATTGTGGCAAGCACATTTCTCTCCCTCTCAAGATTTTTTCACAGAGGTGCACAGAGAGACATGAAAGAGAAAACAATTTCTATTTTTGCTCCTTGTTTTTCTTATGTAAAATGTGTTTAGAAATTTGTTTACCTGAAGTGAGTACTTAATTAAATTTTAGTGAGGATTGTTTGAGCCTGATGGCCAATCCAACCCACCTGTGTCTTGACTCTTGAGAGAGGGTTACAAGTTGTGTTAAAGTTAAAAATAGAGTCAGAGAAATTAGTATGTAGTTTAATATCCTCCTTTTATATAGTATATTAATATATTTTAACATAGTTATAATAAAGAAATAATTCAGCCTTCTAAATTGAGTCAAGCATCATCATTTCTTCCCATTAAATTCGCCTACATTTACAATACTCCATCCCTGCCAGTCCTGGATTTGAGGGAAGAGAGAGAACAAATGTGGAGAGAAGCTCTGAGTGCCTTTTCCTGGCAGAGCATCCCCACACAGCGTCCTTGACAGGTGCCAGGAAGCGAAGCAGAGGCAGAAAAAGCCCCACGTGTGGGAGAACTCTGCAAAACAGGATCTGCCAAACTTCCTCTGCGTGGACAGGGGAGCAGGGCAGGCCCCACACTTGGAGCAGCCCAAGCACCACCTGAGCTTTCCAGCTGGAAAGATGGTTTTTTTTCCCATTTCCACTCTTTTCT